GATGGCCCGGGACTACGGAACCATGGGATCTTGATCGGGCCCATCATCCATTCCCCCACCATCCGCTTTAAGTGCAAGATGGTGCAATTTCTACTTTTAAATGTCAAAATCTTCAAATCTTCCAAACTCAATTCTTCAATTTCCAAATCCAATTTCTACCAATATCCTAAGCCTATTGCTGCTACTATATGCCAGATGCACGTATTTTATACGTATCTGATTGACGACTAGCCTTAATCGAAAGTTCTCTCTCGTGATCGGGAGGGGTAATTAACTATAGGGGCTTGCGCCTATAGGAAACCAGAACTCAGATCATAAAGTCCTCGCAAAATGAGGGCGAAATCTCTGGGTAGTGTCTTATCTACAAACCCATCTGCCTTCCAAAATTTACCCCGGAACTTAGTTCGTTAAAACTCCCTCGCCGAATAAGAAAAGCGAGTGGAGCCCACACTAAACAAAAACACACAAGCATCAACATGCAGGACTGAGTAAGAATAAAGGAAGTTTGCCACTCAAATGCCATTTTTTCCTAGTTGCATGAAAATATCAAAACAATTTTTAATAACCAACAAAATTAATCTACTGAAAATAAATCAATGTATATATATTTTTAATTTCATCTCAAGATTCTGAAAAAAGAATCAGCGCCTTAAAAGACAAGCTTTGCAGATCATCTAACAGTCAAGCACATGGAGAGAGGCCCAGCATGTACATCACAATCTCATAAAACAAAAAAGTGTCGTTTGCTACTCAAAGCAGTAATATTCTAAATGCAAAATAGTATGACATTTTAAATCAATCAGCAAGCACATAAGAAAAATACTAAAATACAGAAACATACCTAATCTTAACATAGTACTTCTCAAGTTGCCTTTTAAGGTCTCTCTCCCTCACACCCTTTTCATTTAATGAACCTATAAGCGCATCAAGCTGAATATATTGCAGCAAAATTTATTCAGAGCCAGGACAACTATAAAATAATTTAATGCTTAAGAAAAATACAAACCTCTTCCTTCGTAGAATAGTAACCCCACTTACTAGAATCCAAGCTTTCCACAAAAAGTCTCCCTTCACGCCGGAAGAACCAATACCTATTATAGCTTCTATCTTTGCCAATGCAATTTGTGCGGATTGAAAGCTTCTCTATCTCCCTTTCAAGATGTTCTCTCTGCAGCATAAGCATATAGATATTAGCTACAAGGCCAAGGGAAGAAGGGAAGTAAAGGATCTTTCGAAAACCTGCTCATTAATAGATATTTTATCCTGATTCTCGTCATCTTTAGCCTCTATTCTTCCTGGCAACTTGCTGCACCGTCAAATAAGGAGGCAAAACGAGTCTTCAATACAAGAAATAAGAGAATACAATAGCAAGATGCTGAAATTTTCCATCTAAGTGCTTAACTGCTTACCCATTTTCCATGATCAATTTCCTGTATACTGACTGAACCTTTCCATTAGCTTTTAAATCACCATTATGATATTTAGGCACGCTGCCAATAGTAGAATTTACATAATTCCTCTTACCATTTACCAACATGCGTTCTGGATTCACTTCTTTGGTGTGATGGTCACCTTCTTTTTGAAGATATTGTTCTTTATTTGTTTTGACTTCCTCTCTTCTTCTGGCTAAAAGAATCTTCTTCTGTTCTATACAGTCATCTAACTTATCTCTAATAGCACTTGTTATAAGTGCCTCGGCAACTAGTTCTCGTAGAATACCCAGTTTGACATGAATATCCAGTAGACCATAATGTCCTCGTTTTATAATAGGAATGTGATCTGACAATTCTGGTTTGTTCCTCATCTCCAGAAAGTGACATAAATAATTAGCCCAGTTGGTCAGTTTAACCTGAAAGGAATAAAGTATCATTGGAACTATGGTTTTAACATAAATCTAGAAGTGAGTGAACTAGCATCTATAGACAAAGAAAAGCAAAATTAATTAATATATTGAATTCCAGATAGAAGTATTATGGTAAAAATATGACTATTAAGTTCACCTTTAATTTCTGCCTCTTGTTTTGAATAGCCGTGAAATAGTCACCACCATCCCTAATGAGAAACTTAAGAATTGCTGAATGAGATTCCAGAATAAGCATAAGTTCACTATCCTTGTGAGTGATAGCATTTTCAAAATCCTCAAGAGAGAATGGCCATAAGTGCAACAACCTGCCAAAAGAAGTAAAGAAGTTCCAAACCATAAGAAGGTCCCCAACACAATCCATGGGTACTTGAAAATCAGTAGATGGAGAAGGTCGATCTGCATAATTTGGATCATCAGCAGATGGCTTCACTAATAGATCATCAATTGGATAAATGATTGGCTCTTCAACTTGATTCTCTGTGAATTCATAAACCATAAGTGCTGTTAAATAATTCATAACTAATCCAAAGAAAGCTCAGGAATAGTTAACTATGAGAATGAAAGTTATTTTAATGTAAATAAAGGATTATCAAGCTTTTCTCTTTTACTTCTTAGGATCACATCATACCTGACTCATGGCCATTTTCAGTTTTTCTCTTCTTCTGATGGGGTCTAAAATTTTGATTACCCTGGAAATTCTGCAAAGATAAGATACTAAAATGCACATTAACAAGCAGATAATTGAAAAAGGATAGGAAATTACCAACTTATTTTTTGTTCCACTTTTTTTGCTATCTCTGCTAATGTCAATAACTCTATTTTGACCAGCAAGTTGATCAGTCAAGATCCCATGCTTCTTGGCAAGTTTTTCATGAACCAACCATGGAGAAATCCGACAAGTAGATTCTCTAATAAAAGCCTTTAGAAAACTTCTACTAAAGGGCGGCTTCTTGCGTACGAGGTCTTCTACACTAACTACTGTCACATCGGTTACTTGCCTTAGTTTATCCAACCACCCGACTTTGCATTGAGCAATTTCTCCATCCTTCATAACTTCTATGATTCTGCAAGCACAAACAGACTCCCCTTTCTTTGCATGTAACTCTATACCTTCATAAAGATTTTTCTGTAAGTTGGTATGTATTTCATTGATAAGGTCTGTCAAATTGAGGGTGCCTGCAAACAAAGATCTGTCAACCTAAAAAAAAAAGTTGTTTTTTTTTATATAAATTTTAACCATTTTTTGCACATTTCAGTAATCTTTTTTTAAAAATTAAAGATGCTAATATAGAAAAAGAAGAATACAAAGAAACAAAATTATGTAGATAAATATAAAATCCGTTGGCAACAGACAAAGGAATAAGATAAGTTCAAGTCCATGTGTCGGGTGATAGGAAAAAAGGTCATTTTGTTATTTCTTCTAATACATCAACAAAAAACACACAATTGCTCTTAGAAAAAGGGCCAAGAATAGAAACTATCCAACAATAATGTGAAAGTAAATTTGCGCTGCAAATTACCTTGAGTAAAAAATAACCAGAACTTTAGCTCAAAGGAAAAAGTTTTAATATAGATTAAAGTGAAAAAAAAAAACTTAGCAAATAAAGTAGCCCAAGAATAAAGGAAATGTAAATAACATATCCTCCAAAGATGGTGGGGTAGATTTTTAATGGTAGAGAATGAGAGCCTAAATAGACGTGTACAGAGAGAGAGAGAGGTAGTCAGGGTTGGAGTGCAAGCAAAAGAGAATTAGAGGGACCATAAGTAAGAGCGAAAGAGTCAGAGAGATCAAGCAAGTCGTAGAGAGGGAGGTCACCTGAGCCGAGGGCTATCTAGGTAGACATCATTACATGAAAAAAAAATCCTATGAAAGATAGGAAAAGGCCAACAAGTGCTACCAACATGTCGAGCGGGCTCAAAATTCTTAGATTACCAACTCTACCATTCATTGTACTCTTCGCTCACTTGACTTACATAAGAGAAAAATTACAAAAAGAATAGTATGATTTTGAAAGGTGAAAGGGTCAACCTGATTCATAATCTAAAGAGAATGCCATATTGAAGCCTGAAGGAATCTTACAATGAGAATAAACAAAATCACGTCATAAACTCCTGCATATGAGGGACAAATCTTCAAGCATGTCCAAATCAAGCAGTGCCCTAATTTTGCTCAAAGCTCACCCAAGTTTCAAGACAATTTGAAACCGATTCGCAATAGTTTAAGTTGCTAATAGTGATTCTTAGTGTTCATTTAGTTGAAAGAAGTCTCAACAAGTTCATACATTGCAACCAATAAATTTTTCCTTTGATTTAAACCTTTTAATTTTCAACTTGGATGAACTTAGTTTCAAGTTAACCTGAAATCAAATCATACTGAATTGAGTTAGATCAATTCAATTTAGTTTGATTTTGAGTCCGGTTCGAGCCAAGTTTGACTTGCTTGAGTTCGACTAAAAGCCACCTCTACCTTAACCTCATTCAGGATTACATTTGAGAGGGGATGCAGCAATAAAAGAATAAGTAAAAGGCGACGATTTGATGAGATAGAGTGAGAGTCAACGAGAGAATAAGGAAAAAAAAAAGCAATGGAGTGCTCTATAGAGGGAGGGGGTGGGAAGAGTGTGCTTTCGAGAGATAGAGAGAATAATGAAAATGACAATGAAAGAGAGGTGGAGAAAGATTAGAAGATAGAAAGGAAGCAATCAATAGGGAAGAAGGAAAATGACAAAGAAAGAGAGGTGGAGAAAGGTTGGAAGATAGAAAGGAAGCAATCAATAGGGAAGTGGTTGCCATGGTAGAAGTTGGCTGTCGAAAATGAGAAGGATAATGGCTTCTTCTACTTTCATTTTACTCCAGGCAAAAAAAAAAAAAGAAAAAGAAAAAGAAACAATATGCCATAATCATCTACCTTATTATATGAAACCATGTTAAGATTGTAAAGACTCTTTAAATTTTTCTAGTTAATTAACAATGTTAGGGTTAACTCAATAAAATCATAAATAAATCAAAAGTGATACCATATGGATTAATTTATGTGATTAGAGGTTAACTACCTAGATGTTGGGGAGGACAATTTATTATATTCTACAGAGTTAAACAATAGATAATTTTAGTTTTGTAATGAAACTATATATTATATGCTTTGCTCTAAATTTGTGTTTGAAATAGAATTTTAAATATAGAGTTAATGAAGCACAAAATGTTTGAACTAAATTATATCAAAATTGAGATCAACCTATAGGAACCGGCTTGTTCTACTATAGGTGGTATGTGGCTTAGGATTGTTAAAAGGTAAGAAGTGTAGCATTTTTATAAGGGCAATTCCTTGACATTTGAAATAGAAAATTCTCAAATAAGTATATGCTATTCTTGTGAATAACATTTATCCTTATTATTTACAAGCATAAAATAATATTTAAAAGCAATCTAATCCTATCTCATTATTAAAAACCTAATTTATCCATAGAGAATAATTCAACTTAATAAGGTAAAGCAAACAAAATAATTAAAAAATTGATCATAATTAAAAAATGATTCTAAAAAGGGTTAAAATTAGTTTGTCAGCGTCTTAGTAGCTCGATTCAATTTCATTTGATTGGCTTATAAAATCTAGTCTTTTCAAGGAAAAAGTACATACTTCGTATTGCATCAATTCACCCGGCCATAAAAAAACTATTCTCCTTAAGAGCTTTGTGAGGCTACGAAGAAGATAGAGACGTCACTAGATCATTTGATAAAAGAAGCACCCATGCAATATAAAAACAACAAGAGGAAGAAGTTCAATGAACACACGAATTTTTGAATGTGGACCAACAATAGATTAGGTGAGAAAAGAGATAACAACAACATAAATTAGTTGAGAAATGTGAGGCTACGAAGTTCAATGAAAAGAGATAACAATAGATTAGGTGAGAAATGTGAGGCTACGAGAAAGATAGAGACGTCACTAGATCATTTGATAAAATAAGCACCCATGCAATATAAAAACAACAAGAGGACGAAGTTCAATGAACACACGAATTTTGGAATGTGGACCAACAATAGATTAGGTGAGAAAAAAGATAACAACAACATAAATTCAATCTCTACCAGGCACATTTGAAACAAACTTTTAATCATATGAAGTAGAACGTGCCTCTTGAAATAAAAGCTAGTGAATTGGAGTAGAATTTCAACTGACAAAAAATACTTTCTAATATTGAACAACATTGTTAGCCTTAAACAATCATGAGCTTTGACTTACTAATAATATCTTAACTTATGCACATGAGTAAACTCAAATGTTGATAACCCATAATTATCCTCAAGGTTTAATTAATCATAAGAAAAATGAGTAAAATTATAAACATCTTCACAAGGACCATTACCATAAAGGAAATGAACATTAATTTGAGGCATGTCATTAATAATATTAGGCACATGTTGTTGGATTGGAAAAGACTTTGAAAAGAAGAAATTTGTGGAGCATGTGCAGTGGATTGCATGAAATTTAGCAAAAGTGCACATTTGAGTTGGATTGTTGCTACATAATCAATCAAATGATTCATTAATATGGATCAAAGGCTTTTAATATGATTCATCATCATAAGTATGTGAATAATAAGAATCATAGTTATCATTATGTGTAGAAGAGACTTGAAAAATAAGATCGACATCCGTAAGTAATCTACATAGGTATAACATAATGTTGAATTTAAAAATAAACTAATTAATTACTTTTTTCTATCACAATATGATGCAGTTAAAATTTGATAAGTTAAACTTCTTTAAACGAGTTTATGATGCTAGCTACTTGATTCACCTGCTCATTGAGGGTGACAATTGAGTTATGTCAAGCTGATCTGACGAAAAAGTGAATCGCCAAGGCACGCACTAACATTGCCTTTGTCTTAACTAAAAAGGAGGTTGGCTTTCACTAGAAAAGATAGTGAAAAAGGATGATCGCTACTTCCTTTGGAAGTTATAACAGAAGTGGCATAGCTAGTGGATGTCACAACGGCTGAGATTGCAGGATTGGATCTCAATCAGTGTGATAGACATAAGAAGCATCCAACATGCAACATAAAGGTAGTCCAACAGGCAACATAAAGGTAGTCATGTGATCGCGAAGCAACATGCTATTAAAGAACACAAGTTTGTCACAACAAAAACAAGCATGGGTGAAGGATGCAAGAGTAAGAGTTATAGGTTACCTTAGTTGTGGCCGAAGTGAGTGTTCACTTAAGAAATCAATGGCATGAGGATTGCGAAAGCATGAGAGGAATGGAGTAGAAATAATTGATTGTTGTTTAAGCAATGAGAGCCATGGTGGACAAATGAAAACGCCATTCCAATGCAGTGTGAGATTGAATGCAGGGATGTGCAATGATAAGGGTTTGCAAGGAATAGGCGTGGCAAGCAAAAGGTCAAATGCGACAAATTTAGTGGGTGTGGAAATAGGCCGAATTGCAAGGGCTATAGTTGGTTTTTTCATATGCAAGGCTTGCAAAATTTGAGTGGTGGGGATATATGTTTGAAAATGGATGTGAGGCAAGGAATCAAAAATAGGATGTTTTCTACCTTCACAAAAGTAAGGTCTCAAAGAGAAACAAATGCAAGATGATGACTGCCCAAAGAAATTTCAAAGAGGGATGAAGAATTGATTGACTCCCACGTGTATTGAAATTTATGAAAAGGGGAAGAAAAAGAGTTCTATACACATGGCTAGGAGAGATTTTCATACATAGATTGCAATGATCTATAAATAGAATTTAAATCTTAAGACACTCAACTAACATCATAAATTATCAGTCTTTTTTTATTATCAATCAATAAGTTATAAACCATAAGTCCGTATTTACATAAATAGGGTTATTGGGATAATGAAAATATTTGAATCTGATGTAACATTGTCTTGAGATTAAGCCCAACTATTCCAAATGTGATTCATTCGTTATTTTTAATTTATACTTGGAAGATTTTATGATATGTTTAAGAGTTGCTTTGATTTTGAAAATTTACATTAGATGACATGTAATAACTCGTCGATTAATGTATTCTTATATAACTTAAAGAACATGATATTTTCCTTGATTTGCACTAGAATGGTCAATAATATACTAAACATGGTATTTGTGCCTTTCATTGTGCATGTTGTATGAAACATTTTTTTGCCGCCTATGTATTAGCAACATGTTTTTCCTAAATTTATTCTTAGGATATCATACTAATTTATTTTGTGCATTTTTAGGTTACTAAGAGGAAAAAGTTGAGGTAAGAAAGGTTAGTTTCATACCTCTTGCATTATGGGAAGATGACTAATGTTGTGTGGATGTTGCTTAATAAAATAATTATTTTAGAACGCATGATGGATAAATGTTAGTATTGTTACATTTGATTTAAGTTATGATGGGTAAACAACTAGAAGTCTAGAAGTTATTGAATTTAGATGTCCTGATCACATCTTGGTGGATCTATTATTCTGAAGTGATTATCATATATTTGAATCATTTCAAATTTATCATACACTTATTCTATCAAGAAACTATTTAAGTATTCTAAGATTAGTGGGTAACCTATGATCCCAAGGTTCCTAGCTAAGCCTCTAGGTAAAAGTCATGACTTAAATTGAGGCTCAAAGTCCATCATCAACTCATCTTTTCTAATAATTTAGACCAAAGCCCATTGATAGATCCATAATGATGGGAGAAAGAGATCTCACCATATATATCATATTCATCATATCTCCTGCATAAAGCATATAATGTATAAACTTGTAGAGCCAAAACTAAAATAAAGCCTTATCAAATCCTTAATCGAGAGTACTCTTCTACAAATGAGAGAGATAATCTAACATGGGGGCTTACCCTCATGGCGAGCCTCAAATAAAAAAATATTTAGTTCTCGATGTAGGAAAAATTTCTAGAATGTCATTTGTCTACTAAGACCTAAAAAATCCATCACATTTCCTAAACACAAATGACCATAAGCTTCTTAGAGGTCACAACACTAGCAAAGAAAAGAAAAAAATGAAGATTAAATTCATGCCGAGTTAAAGAGGAGTAAAGATCACCATGTTTTCTAATACATAATATACATATTTTCCATGAATTTGTGTATTTTAAACAAATTGATCAAGTTACTGGGGAATTGCAGGAACCATCGCACTAATTGTAATTGTCGCTAATAAACTTGTTAATTATGGAACAAATGCGGATTTACAAGGTAACAAAAGGATAAAATTATGATTCAGTTCATAAATTTTTCCTCCTTTGCATGACATGAGGATAACATATGTTCCATTATTGCCATAATGGCTTCATCAGAGATTCATTAATAATAAGATAATAAATGCAATATAGATTAAAGTGATTATCATTTTGAATTTAGCATTGTCTAGACACTTGAGAGAGAGAGAACTCAATTTAAAAGATAGCTAAGAAGTCATAACCACAAAAATACTCTATATAGTAGCAATATATTTAAAAATGGCATAAAAACAAGTTTCTCAAGAATATAAGTTTGCTTTGGGTAGGAATCTTCCTAATGGTGCCTAAAAACGAAATATTCTATGCAAATGTTACTAAGAATCCAAAATCAATAAAGAAAGGGCATACCAACGTCCTATGAGCTTGGGGACCGGTGATGCACACAATCTTAAGCCCTGCAAAATAGAGAGGCTAGATTTTGTTTGAACCTAAGATATTTGGGAAATAGTAGCGTAGCTTAAATTAATGTGCCATGACTAGTCTCCTTAAATTTGAGCAAAATTTTTTCATAGATACCATAAGCAATAAATGGGTTGCTAAGACTTGTTCGTAGACAACTTTATCTTAATTCATTTCTAGAAGTATATGAGAGTTCAATGACTGAATCCTCAAATTATTAGTTATCACATGCCATGAGAGTCATGTTTTACAATGGTTCCATCAAAGTGTTGAGAATGAATACTCCATATGCTTAGGAAATTATTTGAGTTATCAAAATCGATGTGGAAAATCTCATTCTCCAAAAAGCGGGATTCACAACCAAATACTACTCATTTCATCATTGCTAAATATTGTTCTGAGACATGTTATTTCACATCAATCTAGATAAAACCTCCATGATTACGAGCATTACAATGAGCATGATATTGCTCATGAATTCAACAACACAACCCGACGCATAAGCCAGAAAGTGATTAAAGCTCCATGCATTATATAAATAAGAATTTTATATGATGGAATATCAACTAACTATAAAATGAAAAGTACATTCAACAAAATGCAATATTAAGGCATGATGCCGCATGGGAATATAAAAAGAAATAAAAAAGGAAGAAAATTATCTGACTTTAGAAACACATATCAAAAAATTTATTTCTTTACAGTAAGTGAAGAAAATCAAAGACACTAACAAAGTTAGAACTAAGGACACATTCTTACTGTATTGGATCATATTCAGAACACGGGGTACCAATTCACTAGGAAATTGCTGCACTCTCTCTGTGGCATTATGTTCTGAGACCAAAGCTTCTTCATATGTCAAATTAATTTTTCCTGTAACTTTGCAAGTCCATAATCTTTGGCGATAAAGGTTTAATCGGTTCAAGTATTCTCTAATTCCCGTTAAGGAAATATGACACCTAGATAAAATCAGCAACTTTTCATGAAAAATAAAAACCAAAGTCAGAAAAGACATGGTTACACAACATATAGGCTTTACATCATATACTAATGTGAAAGAAACAATTACAATAAAACTTATTGCATATAAAAGGATACTGATAATCCCGAAATATCTCTTTTGTGAATCTAACTTGGTAAACAAGTTCGTTTGGATCCAGATCCTTTGGTGGATCAGCAAGAGGAAATGGTTTTCTCTTATGAAGAGGCATGAGAGCTGGCAAACAAATGCTCTCACAGTGCAAACCCAAACAACAAGTTCAACTTAGGATAACCAAATGCTTTGACCTGAAATCCAAACCTTTGTCTAAGCGTTCAAAATAATCATATTAACCTGACATAATAGATGAGATTTAGAATCCAGATCACTAAATGAAGAAATGAATAAACTATAATAAAACATAAAAAAACCCAAGAGAACAATTTAAAAGTATCCCACATGAGAAATGCCAACTTCAGCTATATTTTGGTGAATGCCATATATGTCCGATAAATTTCTACGTGTATTGGAAAACTCAAGCTTTTAGAAAAATGAAAGAATGCCATTGCAAAATAGACCCAGATGACAAGCTCTAGGGTTGTAAATGAATCCACAAACTTGATAAACTTGACAGGCTACTTATGGCTCAGCTTGTTTAAAACTCATTTATGATCATTTATTTAATTAAGTAATCAAATAAATTTGAACATTTTATAAATACTAAATTGATAAAGGTACAATTTTGTTTAAAATATTTATTTATTTAATAGTTCATTTAATTATAGCATCAATTTTAAACTCAATAGGTTGTCATTAACAGTCTCAAGAAGATTTGTTCAGTTCTGCTCTTTAATAGGCTTGATAAAATTCATTTGGTTAGATAATGAGCCGAGCTCAAACTCAACTCAAACATCACAAGTTTAAACAAATAGAGCTTGAACACCCCTACAAATAATCGTGTTGAATTTGAGCTCCAGCTTAAACAGGGTTTTGACAAATGAGTTCATTCTAGAGCAAGTTTCTGTCGGTTCATTTGCAGCCCTAAGAAACTCCAACGAGCACCCATGCTCTGTTTCTATTTCGATATAAGCTCAAACTCCCAACGTTACATCATGCAATTCCTATAAACAAACATGAACGTACAAGCAACAGAATAAACAATTAATAACCAGAGCAATAATCTGCGCATATTGCGCTCCAACACAAGCAAGCAATACTGTCGAATCCATTAAAAATGGCAATAACCTGGAAGAAATACCGCGAAAAAAAGGGTCCTGATGACAGCGAAGCTCATGACCTGGACATCACGGAGGACTCCACCGTTCTTCTCAGAAAAGTGTCGAAGATAGGCATTGCCAGCGGAGAACCGATCGGAAGGAAGCTATTCGAAGCAGCATGAATCCATTACCTGGCCGAAGAAGAGCTAACGCAGAGGCCCTAGGGCCTAGGAAGTGGTTGGTAGAGGGCAACCCCTAGGACGATGGAGACGGGAACAATTAGTACCTCGAGGCGCTCTCCCCCGTTCCCGACTTCCCTCTTAGGAGAAGCCAGCGCCCTCTCGCTCTTGCATTCATTTATATGCAAGAGGCTAGAGAGGGCTGCCGCTCAAAACAATTATTATTTTTTTTTTTATGCAAACTTATTTTTAAGTAAGGTGTACGTAATAAGTTAATTGAGACAATACAGTTATTGAACGGCACGTGGCACCGATCGTTCGTTACCCTTTGATCATAGTTGAACGGCTCTGATTATGAAACATTTAGCTTCAGATGCCAAGGCTTACTCACTCAGTTAAAAATTTTTTTTTTTTTATTTTTTGAAAAAAAAAAAGATGAGTTTACAAATGAGGTAATAACTATGCATATTAATAATTTAATTAAAATTAATAAGATATACCATTTTGCTGATAATACTTATTTGCTCGAGTGCTTATCTAAAAATATTAAAATTATTATCTAGAGTGCCTATCTAAATTCGCAAATAGAAATATGTTGCACAATAACACTGCACATTTTTACTTATTAAATGTATAAAATAATATAACTTGGTGAATATATCTTCATCGAAATTTAAAATATAAAATATTAATTTATTTTAAGATAACATTTAATTTATTTTCTTAGTGCAACACTCGTCTAAAAATAATCAAGAGTATAAACAAAATACATTCTAATCAAATTTAAAGCAAAATACCTTCTAATTCACTTCAAACGGATGTGATTTATTTAAGTTTTTATTTTTTTATTTCACAAAATCACTATGATTTAGAAATAATAATAATCTCAGCCATTCAAATTATATTGGACGCCTGAGATTCAAGAATTTTACATTTTAAAAACTTTTATATATTTTGAAGGTGAATGATGAAACACAGATCCGGCAGCTTCTACTTAGAACAACAACGTTTGGATTGGCAATAGCTCCTGATCCAAATCTATATAATAAATAACATTTGATCATAAAATTACAATATTTGCATAATAAATACAAGAAAACTATTTTATCCTACAAAGTGAATACCGGAACTCGATTTTTTTGTCCCAAGAGAACAGTTTGTTGTTTCATATTTTTGTCATATATCTTATACTGCTAACATAAATTTACATCAGTAAATCCTGAAAAATCTACAATCTTTAGTGAGCCATGCATTAAATCAGGGAAAATTATTAGATGCGGACACCTGATAGAGAGAATCATTCGGATTTTTCTCTGTCAATAGTAAAAGCATAGTCAAAACACAGTTGCTATAGTAACTGTGTTTTTACTATAGACAGAGAGAAATCCAAATGATTCTCTCTATCCGGTGTCCACACCTAATAATTTCTCTGAAAGCAGCCACATGTGACTGATATCTACTTGTAATAAAACCTGGGAGGTAGAATGCTTCATTCTGCTACACAAGGTTAACATCGAAATTTATCTTCTCAACTAAACCAAAGGGAACACATTGTACTTTGGGCAGAGTAGTAAACAGTTCTGAGTTTCGTATGTTTCACTAGATCAGATTCAAGATTTACTACTAGCAAAAAATTACCCACCAATAAAAAGGAGGAAAAACCAAAAAAAGATTGATGAGGCTATCTGTCCAATTTACATGATTATCCAAGTAGACGATCCCGCTTTCGCTCTCAGCATCTCTCAAAAATCTTGTAGAGCTTATCGAGTGAAGTAACCTGTAAACAAGATGTTTCAAAAGAAAAGACTGTGAACATATCAGAGTATCAGCTGTGGCACATCATTCATGATAATTCATAATCAAACATAACACATGTAAATTAAGATGGATTAACATAAGACGACCAACAATAACAACAAGTTTTTATCCTACTAAGTGGGATTCATTTTAAAATATGGTGCAGCACGAGGGCTTTCAAGGAGGTCACTCATCTTGGTAATAAACTTGTCAAAGCATGCTTAATTGCAGAGTTTTGATAGGATCCGGTGCATTACTGCTGATATGGATTAACATGAGAGAGAGAGAAAAAAAAAAGCCAGTCAGCACCCATTATAGCTTTGACAATCTCCCCAAGTAACTTATTTCCTTTAGCAGGACTACCAACATGAGCATTTGCTGAAAGAGTCCCTAAAAAGCACACGTATGAAATGATAGATTATATCCACAACACTGGCAGGTTCTTCAGCATATATTTATATCTGAAAAGATATATTACTATTACATCCACATCCCTGGCTAGTTTTCACACGTTTTGGTGGCATGTCATTACTGCCATGGATTTGAAAAGTTCTTAAAAGTGGATGTGCATCATAGGTAAAAACCTTCATCCAGATTCCTCACGTAAAGGTTTTAGATGGACACGATTGTCAACCATCTGCTTGCTTTTTCTGAAATAGCAGAAATAAGCTTCAAGATCAAAGAGATTAGAAAAGTTTTGCCCATCCATTTCAGAATTCAGTTGATGCTAAACAGACTGGTGTAGTCAATCATCCAGAAGCATTCAAATCATATCTCAAGAAAGCGTACATTCTTATCCTATACACAAGTTGAATTTATTGAACATAATATAATTTGTATAGTTGCTTTATTCATAATCAAGTGTTAAATTAATTACCAACTTTCTTTTAGAAATTATCTACAAACTACATTAAAGTATATAATAGATCAAAATTGAACACTAAAATGTTCCTCGAAGTTTCTGAAAATTGTTCGGCATGTCAGCAATAACTTCATTATGAGCAATGTTATTTGATTTAAGAACAAGAAAACTAGAACAAAACATTTCAAACATAAATGGATAATAGAAAAACAGGGCCTGTGAACCAAGCAAGTATAGGTTTTTGATAAACCTGAACAAAGGTTCCATTTTTGGCCATTGCATTTGGTGGCTTGAGGAAAAGTCTCATGGATGGGAACAAAACATGCTGAATAGTCCACTCCCGCTGAGCCCATGCTGTTTCAGCTTCAGCAAGTAATTCTCCATCAATATCAGTATCTGAAACATTCTCTGTAATGCAAAAAGGATATCCAAAACATGTGTAAGACTGAGAATATGAAGGTTTAAAATTTGAAAACTAAAAAGTATGTTAAACAGAGTCCAGAACAAATAACTTACAAAAAGACTTGAAAGCAAATCTAAAACAAGTGCCAGTAAAATGTATGGCGTAGATGTGGGCTCTAAAAATTCTTGTTCAACTCTTTTAAATGAGTCTTGTTTCTGATCAAACTTTTAAAATGTAAATTAGATTTTAAATAAGATACTACTTAAAGACTTCGCTCTAATTTTGTGAGGATTTTAAGATTTGATTCTATGTTTCTCATAAAAGTGTAAACCCATGTAATTAATTATCCTTCCCGATGATGCTGAAAAACTTTTGATTAAGGCTCACTAAATGCTTAGCATATTGTAACAAGTTTGATCTTAGGATTGCAAAATTTATCATCTTTAGCTTAAAGTGGATAGTGTGTTGCATGATGATAAATCTGATTTCATGATTCTGACATCTCAGATTGTCGTGGCCCCAGTCTATTTTGTTAGCAAAGGTATTCAATCAAACTTAACCAAAAAAAAAAAAAAAAAAACTTGCCAACAATCATGGGTTGCGTCGTACAAGGAGATCTTGTAAGCCTAGGGTGAATGTTTGCCGAAGGGGACAATTTTAAGTCGAATTTATCCAACAGAGAGTTTCGTGCCCCATCAAGAATATTCCATGACTTACCACTCATGGGTATAAACCATTGGGGAACTTATGGACTATGACCATATCAATACTTCAATGGTGCAACAAACTACTTAATCAAAAGGCCCTGACCATAATTGTTATTTTGTAGTGTCATTTGATGGTGAAACAATCCGGCCAGAAGACACTTGCAATGTTCTTACTTGTAAGACATCTTTAAGAGTAACAATAGAGATACACTTACTATGATATTTGACTCTTTGCAAGCTAAAGTTAATTTTAAATTTATCACCCTAAAAAAATTATTACAAAGGATGAATTCATGGTTGCTCTAAGCTTTAGGGGGTTGTTTTCCCTCATCAACACTGTAGGCTACATGCTTTCTTTTTTCGATGTTAAAGAAGTAGAATGCACATATCCCTTCCTTGTTTCAAGAGCTTTGCTTCTTTTGTTCGATCTTTTCCAAATCCATATTCAATATATATATATATATATAACCCAATAATCTTGGCCAATCACCACCGGCAGAAGATAGGAAAACATGGAAAAAAAAAATATGAATACAGGTATGATTTCTAACCTAAAAAATCAAAATGTAAAACTCTATAACTAGTATACCGGGCATTTTTAATTCAATTGCTGCATTTGTGCCGGCATCTCTTTTACTATTCTTGTAGAACTGAATTCCATTGCCAGATGGATTCGGAAGGACAGGAGGTTGGATAGCATAGAAGTCCCCTATAGCAGCTGCAATTGTTTGGAAGCACTCTTTCTCACTGGTCCAGACAACCTACAAAAATGATGACCTCTCAAATATAAGTTTTACATCAGCATACACAAAGAATAAAGGAATTAGAATTGCAAGAAAAAGTAACAATACTGAAAAAATATTATTTGAGTAGCCACAAGCACACTATTATTATAATTTTATGCAAGTAAATTTAATCGATCAAAAAACCTCTAATGTTAATTTATAAAAGTAAAAAACAGGTGCCCACAACGTGCACTACTATACAAGCCACGGAACCTTTTTATTTCTGTAACATTCCATACCTACTTAAGTTTCTCAATGGCATTAGATTTCAATTTGTAAAACATACTCCCAATAAAAATCAACAGTATTATCCTATATGCCTGTTCGAGAAGGAATTATGATTTGAATTTATGTACTTAACATATGCAATTGTAAGAAGAAGAATATGTACTGGTTTGAGTAATCTCGACTTGACGATGAGGGAGAATTATTGGAGACAATCAATGCAATTTATTTAAATATTAATTCAATTATTTTAATAGAATAAAATATAAAATGCAATTGAAAATATTACTCAATAGATATATTCAACGTTGCTATTGATGATGCTTGATGAGTTCAAAATTGTCTTTGACAACGTTCGAAGCATTTGACATTGCCCTTGATAATGTTCGACACCTTTGACATTGTTTTTAATGACGGTTAACATTGTTAATCTTATTTTAAGCATTGATAATAACATAACAGTATATTCGAGACAAAATATTAAGGAAAGCGAGCGTGTTCTCAAAGATTAAGGTAAGGTGGAATTAATTTCATTAATTAATTGAATTTTTTTGTAAATATATGTCACGACCCGGCCCGATTAGCTCGCAAGTGCGAGGCGGAAACGGAGATCGGACGGAAAAGAGACCAATCAACAAAACATTACATAGAATTTTCCATAAAGAATTTAGCAAAACTAAACACATCTCCAATACATGTATGAAAGAGCCACTATGAATCCAAGTAAAAAAAATTTTCTTTTCTATTACTTTTACCTTCCAAAAGAGTACGTCGCGGCGCTTTGAAAAGCGTGCGAAGTCTGAAATGGCTTTTTGCGGGTTTTACAATATAGTTCTAAAATAGACATAATCATGTACCTAATGGTTAGGCTGTGCATTAAGGAATGACGATTCAAAATTTAATAAGTATTTAAGTGGGAGGATTGACTTTCGAAAAGGAAGTGAGGTAGATGATTAGATTTTTAGTCTAAAGTAATCGCAGTTCTATTTATAATTCAATGTATTTATTTACATGAAATAGGGTACGTAAACTTGCAAATCTTATAAAGATTGCTTTACATTAAACTAAAAAATAAAATGACCCTTCTTAAAATAGTATACGCGTCAAATATGATAGCCTCATTTTGAAATTCTTGTATGCATATATATAGGAGATTAACCCCATATGGTGTTGGTTGGGGAAGCAATGTCTTTGTGTAAAAGAAAAAAAAAAGTTTGAAAATGAAAATGATTGTATATTTATTATTATAAAGTTAATGACAAATCATGCCTGCTCACATGCATATTCTTCATTATTACTATATTTTTGAACTGCAATCAACATATTAATTTGATAATGGAAACTCAATCAAATTGAATTAAATATTTCATGTAAATCTTCAATCGAGGAAATAATTGATCGAGAAGACTTTGTGTGCAGACAAAGATGTTCAAATAAAAAAATGGTATGAATTGTAGCATATATGTTCAAACTGATAATTGATGATTAGTTGTTTTTTTTCAAGTTTTGGATATTATTTTATATAACGGTTCAGACATTGTTGAAAGAAGTAAATTATTATCTGTCTATCACTCCCAAATTGGTATTCTAATACTCAGGATGGGTCATGACAAACACCATTTCCACGTACTACTAATGTTATAATTAAGATGAAAAAGTGTTGGCTAGAGAGATTTAACTCACGACCACTTATAAGCATAAAAAATCATAAACTACCTAGTCTTTTACTTCGTTATGTATGAAATATATAGAAATAAAAATTAAAGTCAAGATGGATCGAATAAACATTTTGATTGAGTAATTGTATATTAAAAGCTACTCTAAATGAATGGCTTAAAACCAACCTCAAACAAGTTTGAATTGATTTTAACTCTGCTAAAAAATCGAGAAAGTTTCATGGTTTAGTTATTCTTGTTAAGCTACCAGCAAGCACGACATCGGTTATAGCCCAATTGTTTGGGTTAATCAACCCTAATCTTCATTGCTCTCTAAAGTAGAAATTTAATGTATTTTAAACAAAGCTAAATAAGTGATGCTATCAAATGTTTCTGTAATTTTATTTTTATTTGAACAATAGTATATTTTATATATTTTTTTTTAGCTATCCAATGATGGGAAAGCATCCAATGATCATAGTAGGTTGTGCATGAGGCTTGGTAGACCTTTGGTTTGCTGGCTTGATTGGTCCATTTACTACTACTGGTTCACGGGTTGATTGGAGGAGGAGCTCATTCTCTTAGTTGCTTGAGTTGAAGTTAGTAGCTCATTATTGTCCAAAAGGTAGCTCATTATGAAGGATTCATTGATGGGGTGGACTTGTCCCTTCTCCTTCCCCTTTCTTCTTGTCTCTTGGAAAACCATGGCTTGTTTTAATGTTGGCTGAATTCTATGCATTAAAATTCATTAGGGGAGTTACTGTTTTCCGTGCTTTGCCTTTTTGAAATCCGGCCAGCTGCTGGTTTTCCGAGCCTGGGTGGTTTCCCGTGATGTTGGCTCCTTGGTTCCGTGAAGCCTCCTTGATTCCTGTAGCTGCTCCTTCGGGTTCTTCTGCTGGGCTGTTTTCCGAAAAAGCATTTGGGAAATCCTATGAAATATGGTGCTTAGGTTCTTGTGGAAAATTAATATGTGTGACTTTTGGCATTCCCCTACCTTGCCTATAAATATGAGAAGATGCTATGAAGGAAGGGAGTTGATTATTGTGAGCAAAATTGCTATTGACCTGCGGGTTATTGGAAAAGCTTGCGAGCTTTGTCCGCCTTCTTTCTCATCCCCTCCGGAAATCTTGCGAGCTCTTTCCAACCTTTCGTCTCGGCTTCTAACCTATTTAGTCTCTCCGTAAGTGCCACTCCATCTGTATCCTTCTTCTCAAAGTGAAGCAACATTAGGGTGTCGTGTCTTGGTTGATTTGGAAGCATTTGTTGGAGAAATTGGACAATCTTGCAGTGGTGGACCATCGGTTTGCTAGTCTTATGCACTTATCTTATTTACCCTACAATTCGATGCATGTGAGGAACCCGCTCTGATGGTTGTTTGAGGATAGCGTCTTTTATTTTTCTTTATTTCCTTAAAAATCTCTTAGTGTTTTCTTGTTGGACTTTGAAGTTTTAATTATTTGCTTTTATTTTAATAAAGTTTGGTTTAAGTTCTATCCATTGTTCTCTTTGTGTTGGTTTTCTTACTTGTGTGTCTATATCAATAAGCCTTCATGGATAGCCCACCAAATCCCATCTAAATCTAGATTTACCCAACTATATGATGAGATTTGCAAGGCTTAATTAAATGAATTTAAAAACACTTTAGTATCCCTTTTAACAATGCTAATCCTAGATATAAGTTCAACCCCCAAAATAACCCTCTAAATCTTATTAAATCCTCAAATCTAGTTAATGTAGCACATCGAAAAGGTTTCTACAATTCTTTCAGATCTCTTTATTATTTTAATATATGCAATAGTTATTATCATATTAGGCTTTGGTTGTAATTTTAATTCATTTTGTGTGGTTTAAGATGTTTGGCCAAGGCATAGTTCACTTTTATGACTAACCAATACGCGAAGAAGAGAGCAAGTCAAGGATGGGTCAAGTGAAAGAGCACTTGCATATTATCACGCCAAAAGATGTCAACCAACAGACCCACCACATTCACATTTCAAAGAGCCATGCTGTTCAATTCAACAAACCCACCATCACATTCAAAATTTGAATTTTGCGAAATGTTATAATGCTTTAATTAGTAATGGAAAATCTATTGTAAGAAACAAATTTTGTATGAAATATTCTTCTTTGGAATCTTTTTAGTGGCTTGGTTCCTTAGGTTAAAAGTTTGGTGGCCTACAACCGACTTATTTCTTTGGTAAATTTCAAATTTTTATGTATATTCTGTTCTTTCTTGTAATACCATCTCCCTCATATCTCTCACACCTCTCCAATTCAATCCATCATCAATTACCTTCCTCATTTACCACCAAACTCTAAACAAGGAGCTCTCAGGTTAGCATCCATCACCACTCCCTTAAGGCCAACAGTTGTTGGTTTTGGCCCTGTCATCACACTCCACACCCCATCTCCACATCACTACCACCCTCGCATATCTCCCTCCATCCCTAGAGATATTCACAAGGAATTGGCTCCACCTTGCCAGGCTTAGACATCCATTGGGTGCACCCGGGATACACCCTTCCCCAAACAATCCAAGCCATTTCCTCCACCTTCACACTCTTCCCATTCCACTACACACCCTTCACCAACCTTTAGACCATCATCCCACATCTCAGCTACGCTTCACGTAATCTTTGGTCGAGTCTTTTCACCAACTTAAAGCTCACAAAAATTCTCCAACAAAATCCAACTATACCGCCAGACCCCTCTTCATCTCAACCTAGGCAAAGCTACCTCCTCTTAAATAACCACTACACCATTTCAACTTCATATAAAACAAAGCCCTCATCATCCCCACCATAATGAGCCCACCAACAAGTGGCTCCATCACTAGTCTTTTAAGCTATGAATCTCTCGGCTACACAAAATGATGGCTTACTTGCTTCACTATATGTGTTCTCTAATACCTTTTGATTTTGTCAAAAGGGGAGTCCTTTAAACAACACTTAAATGATTATGTATAAGTTTATACAATGACTAAGCAAATATAAGACTACTTGTAGATTATAGATCGAGAAAATAACTAAAATGGTCCCCTGACAGTTCAGAAGGGTTATTTTAGTCCCAAACTACACAAAAAATTCAATTTGGTTGATAATCTCTTATAATATTAGCCGAATTAATCCAATCTCAAAAGTAACAAAAAGTAACAAAAATTGAAGTTAAACTTAACAAATAGTGCTACAAATGGGGGTATTTTAGGCAAATACATCTTAAAAATTTAATAAAATCACATTTCCAATTTACTTTGTTTCCTTGAGTACAATGGCTAATTTTGTGTATAGTAGAAGTGAATTAAGATCATATAGAATGTGGAGTTAAATGATTTTTATGTATTAAATATTTTTATATTTTTTATTTAACTTTTTTCTTTGTCTCGATTCTATTGTAACAAAATACTATTAGACCGGTCCACTGGACCGATCCAGCCGGTCCGCACGAGACCGGCATTTCGCAATTTGATGCGGGATCTCCGCCTCCTGCAGAGATCGGGCAGCTCGACCGCCCAAGCGGAGCTTTTTAGTAAGTCTTTTTGAGGGTTTTGAGAGGGAAATTTGAATGTAGGGATTGTTTAGGGATTTCCTTTTGATTTGTATGTATTAAATAGTTGGTTTTGCTAGGGTTAAGGCATCTTGAATTTGGCTGAAATTTGAGATCTCTTAGATTTAGGTTTTCTTTGGGCTCTAGCGGCGAGAGATTTGGGAGAGATCGATCCTCCTCTCGAATAGAAGATCAATTGTATCTTGCTATTTTCCGTTTTCTTTCATCAAATAATACAAATTATCTACTGTTTTCGTGGTTTTGTGCGGACTTCTGTGAAGGATTCTCGCTGTTTTTCGAAGATTGATAGGAATATCTACAAGTGTTTCCTATCAAATACATTGAGAGAAATAGTGACCTGGGTTGTTTGATATTTTTATCTTGATTTGAATGTAATGAAATACAACTTTTTTATCTTGATTTGTTTCTTCTCCGACTATGTTACTAACAACAAAAAAGTTGCAATGGTGATTCATAAAATACCTTTTTTAAACACCAATTATTAATTTTAAATTTAATTTTCATTTTTTTTAACTGTGGAATCATTTTGGTACATATGATAGGAGTCCAAGGACTAAATTGGACCTCTTATATAATCTGAGACTAAAATGGTCTCCTCACAAATAGTCAGAGGTGGCAGTTTTGATCATTTTCTCATTATATATCTTTAAACTTGATTTTAATTAATATTAAGAAAATTGGACAGAACATCAAATCGAAAAAAAAGAAAAGTTCAAGTTTCAATGGTTCGACTGGAGTTGAACTAGATGATGTAATAAATATTAAAATCATTTGAATAAAAAAATAATGGATATGATAAACATGTAATAATTATGCAATAATATAAATTTATGACTAAAACATAAATTTAGTTAACATATAAACTTATAAATTATTGTTAATTTATATTATATATTTAGATAAAATTTACAACTGTAAATTATATATTAAATGCAAATTATAAACCTGATTCTATAAATAGTTCATTTTAGATTATTTATACTTAATAGATAAAAATATGTAATGTATGTGTTTAAATTTGAAAACTTAAGCTAAGTTATATAGTTTCATATCACTTGAGAGCTTTGCTTTTTCTTGTATATAACTTTTTTTGGTTTGCATATGGTAAGAGCTTGCATGGGGTGGTGGGAACATGTGGGTAAGTTTTATTACGGGAAAGCAGCCCAGGCGGAACCCGAAGAGGCAGCCGCAAGAACCAAGGAGGCCCGGACGGAACCGAGGAACCAAGGCATGGGAAAACCACCCAGCACAGCCAACCGTGGGAACCAAGGAGCCAAGACATGGGATACAACCAACATAGAGAAATGAGAAGAAAATTGGGGGGGGGGAGGAGAAAAGACAAGTCCAAAGTAATAATGAGCTAATTTTTAGTTCAATAAATGAAATAAAAATAGCTCATAATGAGCTAACCTCCCACTTGACATTAATGAGCTAGAGAAGTCAAAAATCAAATTTTAGGATTTGATTAGACCCCCCCTGCCTACATCAGACTCCCCTACTTGAAAAACTCATCTCCCGATGAGTCGCCTTTTGCTTTCTTCTGAGGAGGCGAAGACGGTGCATCCAGTCTTGAATTTTTGCTTCAAATTTCTTCAAAATTTCTTCTTGCTCTTTCTCGATCTGTCTTTGAAGATACTTCTTCCTTTTCTCGTATTTCTCATCACATAAGAACTTGTGATATTGAAGTTTGTATAATCTGTCTTGTAGTGGATCTGTTGAATCACTTTCTGTTGGAATCCATCTGTCCATCGGAAGAGGGACTTCAAGATTTTCTGGATTGCTTTCTTCCACTGGATCACAATTTTTGTCTTTTTCCATTTTTTTTAAAGACTCAACAAAACAAGACTTACAAGACTAACACAATAACTACTATGACCAACCAAGACTCACTAGAACTCACAAACAAAACAACTTATGACATCAAGACACATAAACTTGCTATGACTCACCAAGACTTACTTGACAAACCGACTCATAAAACTAGGACTTCCTAACTTGCTCTGATACCAAAATTGATGCACTCAAAAATTTGGGAGAGGAACCCAAATTTTGACCCAAATTTTTTAACACAAAAAGAAGACTCTTCCTGTATAAAAGAAAGACACAAAAATTTGGGAGAGGGCCCCAAATTTTTGCAAGCAAATGAAATTCTTCCTATAACTTAAAAGATACTCAAAACACTACAAAAATAACATAAGATAAAGCGACAACATGACAACATTTGCACAAAACAAAACACAACTTTACTATTATAAAAGCACTTACAAGACGCTTACAAACTTTGACGACATGAAGACGACTTAAAACATTGATAACATGACACAACTTGAACCATAAAACAAAACCTAATGATGCTTCATTCCATTAGAAGAAGGATACAAGTGGGGCGTAAACTTGCGGATAGACGAAAAGATAAAAACCGAGAAGAAATGGAGACAAGCTCGCAAGCTTTCTCAAAGAGGGAAGGAAAGAGGGAAGTTGGACAAAGCTCGCAAGCTTTTCCAAACAAAAAACCCACAGATTTTATCTCCAAAAATCACATCATAACTTACTAAACATACACAAATCAGCCCTTATATATAAGCCAAAAGAGGGCAGCTAAACAACCACCATATCTTCATTAATATCCTAATTAAAATAGGAAGATAGAAGGCCAAAAGTTACTCCAAAACAGCAGCCCAAAAGCCACCAAACAGCAACCCAAAAGCCACCAAACAGCAGCCCAAAAGTCCTTCATATTCTTAATTAAATGAGGAAAATGAAAAGCCAATAGCCACTTTACTGCCTTCCCCCAAATCTACACAGGAAACAAAGCACCACAAGCCACGGAAAAACTCCCAACGGCCACGGGAAAGCAGCCCAGGCGGAACCCGAAGAGGCAGCCGCAAGAACTAAGGAGGCCCGAACGGAACCGAGGAACCAAGGCACGGGAAAACCACCCAGCACAGCCAACCGTGGGAACCAAGGAGCCAAGACACGGGATACAACCAACATAGAGAAATGAGAAGAAAAAGGGGGGGGGGGAGGAGAAAAGACAAGTCCAAAGTAATAATGAGTTAATTTTTAATTCAATAAATGAAATAAAAATAGCTCATAATGGGCTAACCTCCCACTTGACATTAATGAGCTAGAGAAGTCAAAAATTAAATTTTAGGGTTTGATTCGACCCCCCGCCCCCTTGCCTAAATCATAGTGGTTGGTTGGAATATGATTATGAAAATTAAATGCTCATTGCAAAATTTAAACAAAATAAATTTAACTTAATTTATTAAATTTAATAATATTTTATACTAAATTATTAAATTAATTTATTTAATTATTTAAATCAAATAGCATTGAACTGGGTGGTTCTAAGGAATCGGGACTGATTCAACGGTTCACAGGTAAAACTGGTTGCTCTAACCAATTCATGCTAGTTAGATGTTGGGCTGGTTTTTAATATGAACGAAACCGGTAGGTCCTATCCAGTTTCAAAACCATGGTTTTAATGGAAGCCATGCCATTGGATCTTCTTTTTATATGCGGGTAGTTTATATGTTTTAGGTCATGTATTTTAAGGGGAGAAGAGAAGGAAGGCGAGAGGGAGAAAGAGTTTGGAGTGAAGTGAGTGAATTCTGCTGGAAATTTCTAAGCAAAATCAAATTATAAGCACGTAATCATATCTAAAAGTAAATTCAAACAGAAACTGAAGCTCATTACATTTAACTGTACAAGAAACAAATCCAATCAATTTAAACATATTATAAAGGAAAAATGATTAACACATACATCATTACCCAAACTCAACAAAAACTCTGGAACATGGTCCATGTCAGGAGTGTGCTGGTCCAGCACAACAGGAAGCCTTGTCAGGTTCTGTTGTTCATCTATGTGAATAGAAAAGTACTCGTCGAGCAATTCAGCTTTTTTCATTAGTAGATCAGTATTCATCTGGGAGGAAAAGATAAATACTAGGATGATTAAACATGCATTCAAGTAAAACCTCTTAAGAACTAAAAGAGCCATATATCACTCTAACTCATATGAATTGCAAAATACCATCTAGAGCAATGTTCCATCTCAGAGATCTTTTATCAACAACAACAATCAAAATCATTGATATTATCCCACCCCAACTATTGCAAGCAACTTGAATTATAGAGGGCATATCACTTTTTTTTTATCAGGACTATTTCCAAATCAGCTACATGCTTTTGTACACCTCAGCAATAACAATAACCCAACGAATGGTAACAAGAATAAGATAGATATCGCACCAACAAATTATCAGGAAAATATTCTATTCTAATGCGGAGTTGGCAGTCAATAACACAAGAAAAAAATATTGTACCTAGGGAAAACTTGACAAATTTTACAAAAGAAGGTCATTTACCTCAGAAATCTTCTTTCTAAAAGCATCATTTTCATCACTAGCAGAATCCAAATCTTCCTCTTTCAATGCTATCATCAATAACTCCAGAAGAGGGGCTGGTTCACTAAGTTGTATGGCATTAAAATTTCCAAATCTACGTATGACTTGTTGATACATAAGCTCTTTGCTGTTAAAAAAGGAAGATAGACATTTGCAGTTGCATAGTTAAGGCACGTGCAATCGGCTTAAACATGTTAAAAAGCGTTTATTAGAAAACCTAATCCTATAATGTATGAATAAGAGAATAGAATATCATTGCCTAAGAATCAATTTAATCAACTCGTACCATTGACTATTTTGAAAATATTGTGAATGATGAAGAAATCATAAATCTAAAACTGATAGCCAAATAAACCCAACTGAAGTTCTGCAAATTTTGATCAGCATTGAAACTACAGTACCTCAACTGTATTATGTGGTTGCCTCTAGAGTAGGTGAACCAAGAAAATAGCATGGAAATTAAAAGATAAATTTTCAAAAATTATAACTAAATCATAAACCCAATGATCAACATTAAAGTATAAATTTGGTTGCACGGGCAAAAATGAAAAGGCAATTTTCAAACATAAATGCAAGATGGGATTTTCAAGTCATCATAGAAGTGCCCTGCCTAAATATGACCGAGTCTTTGACATCTTCGCTTACTCAAGAGGACATAAGAAAGACTATAGTAAGAAAGCTCCGCTTCGTCAATTTGATGATAAAAGCTAGAAAGCTCTACGCGTATCGGACTTGACAAGTTCAAGTGACCTAGATCTAGAAGATTTTCTCAATTGACTTGTGGGCTCCTAAAATTTGCACCTCTTCCTCTCTGTGCCACACTGCCACCCTTTTTGTTTGACGAGGAGAGTTTTAACGAGCTTAGGTTCCTGGTAAATTTTCAGAAGGTAGATTGAGTTTTTTAGATAAGACACTATCTAGAGATTTCGCCCTCATTTTGTGAGGACTTTATGATCTGAGTTCTTGTTTCTTATAGGCGCAAGCCCCTATAGTTAATTATCCCTCCCGATAACGATAGAGAAATTTCGATTAAGGCTAGTCGTGAGATAGGCGTCGAGTACAAAGCATATAGTAGCAACAACTTTAGGGATTTAATTTTGAAGTTTTCGGAGATTTTTAAGATTTGAAATTTATCACCTTATACTTAAAACAAGTGATGGGGGAACGAAGACGAGCCTAATAAAGATCCCATGGTTCCATTGTCTCGGGTTGTTATGATCCCTGGACTACTTAGTCAGAGGAAGTAGTCGACCCAACCTGACAGAAATCACCTTATCGACAGCCATGAGTTGCTTCATCCAAGAATACCTTAAAGACCTGGGGTGGATGTTTGTCTAATGTTATGAATTTAAGTTCACCTTAGCTGACAGAGGATTTTATATTTTGGAGGGTGCACCCTATAATTCATTACTCAAGGGACTTTTAATCGTAGTCGTAATATAGTAATGCCATTTTGCAGCAAAATCACTCGGTTAGAGGGCACGTGTCACATCCCTGTTTGCGGTGAATCAATTGAGAATGAATTATAGTAATACATTTTACAAGATATCTGCTCTTTGTGAGCTGAAGTTATTCATCAATTCATCATTCTCGCCAAACCGTTGCAAGGTGTGGATGGATTTTACTTTTTAGTTTTTGGTTATGGATTTCCATTTAAATGTTTAAGATTTAACATATATTAGATTTTAAAAATTAGAAGATTTGAACATTAAACCCTCCGATTGAGATTCACTATCAACACGGCAATTATTGAGGTGATGTTACAATTACTTGAAAATGTTTGTATTTATAAAAATTTGAAGGTATTTAAAAGACAAGTCCCCTCCAGTTGAGATTTTCTATCAACACGATCATCATTGGGGATTTAAGTAATTAGTATATGATTAGGAGTTTGCTTGTTAATCCAAGTTGTGTAGACTCCAGTCCTTTCAAAGAGGAGAATGAAACTTGAATATTAGACCCGCGCAGCATTCTCGAACATTTAGATTTAGGAATTTGATGTGACGATCAGAGCACATGCGGGATATGTTTAGTTTGAAAATAGAATTTTATATTAGTGGGTGCGCAATATTCTTAGACATTTATGCTTGCAACTTTAATATGTTTATCGGAGCCCATGCGGGATGTGTTTTCAGTATATAGATTGGAGCTATCATAGATGTATCGCCCTCTATCCTATTGTACAAGTGTTGCGGATCCGGTGGTGTGCATTGCCGATGAATTTTATTTCAGAAAAGATGTATTTTGGCATTTTAGATAATTCTGTCTTCTATTGTACAATCTTTCTCCAAAAAGTCAGGCTGATCTAGAAAATTTTTAGCCTCTTCCAACCTCTCTCCTTTAATCAATCATGGGATTAAGGGTGTTAAAAATTTATCATTCTCTTTCTTTTTCACATTATCACTTCATGCTCTTTGCTCCATATCAAAAATTGTGAAGGAATTTCATTTTTTATGTTCATCGAAATTGGATTGGATCTAAAACATTGATGTAACTATTTATGTAATGGGTTTCAACGATATTAAGATAGCATTTTCCCCTGCATTGAATACCATGTGGGCAACATGTTATCATATATTTCTAAGCTTTTCTTCTGATAGTGGTATTTTTTTTTAATAAATTCTACAGCATCGAGTGTTATACACTTCATCACAGTGTTCAAATAATGAACTTTCGAAATAACTATAGTTGGAATGTCCTTAACCATTTAAAGAAACTTAAAGTTAGCGTGACCATTGATAGTAGTAATCTCCACAATTTCAATATGATAGTTCTCAGCCTTCTTCAAAATAGCATTTCCTGCATCTTCTTCTTTGCAATATGAATATACCCTGTAGCCCATGGCTTTAAGTTTCATTCTCGTATAAGCTACAGATTCTCTATCTTAACCACATAGGATGATCCTAAATCCTTCCACAAAGTCAAATCATCAGCAGAGCAAGGCATAGTTGGTTTTGCATCTTTATCTCAATCAAAATTACAAATACATGAACTAACCATTTCAAAATTGAACTGGTTTCTTATATTCGCATGTTCTCTTCACCAAAATTTCTCTTAAGAAAAGATTAGGGGTAGAGAAATGTTGCTTTCACCCTTTCAAATAATTCAAAAGGTTAGAGAGAGAGAGAGAGAGTTACAATTTTACACACACACACACACACACATATATATATTCAAATTCAACAACTCTCTAAAAAATTATTTGTTCAGTCAAAATTTTGGTAGCCTCCCAATGTCCCCTCTCCGCGAAGGGAGGTCAGGAGGCACTTGCCTTTGGTTCTTCTCACTCGGATCTAAGATACGATGGTGTGAGGTTTTTGAATTAGCAATGGTCTCGCCAAGATCTAAGATACAACAATGCGGGTCCTTCAAATTAAAATTTTTGCCCGGATCAAAAGATGTAACGCTGCTGGACTTGAAATTGTCGATTACCTATTTAAAACCCTTTTTTTTAATCTCTTATGTATGTATGTGATGTAGAACGGGTAGGAAAGGCTTTGCTAGGGAGAGGATCTCTCAGCAGATTTGGGGTTTTAGAAGTCTTGGACAACAGCTCTTCTTGTTGGATTGTTAAAATTCAACCTTCGTGCAAGCTGGGGTAACCGTTGGGGCAGCAGGAATCCTTGGACAGCACCGGAATTGGGGCTGACAACAGTTGGGAACCAATCGGAACCGTGGCTTGCTGGTTTAGGGGTCTTTGGACAGCAGGGAGGACCTGTCTGGTCTACAGGATAGCAAGGTTGAGCTGCCGTAATCCTTGGACAGCAGTTGAGAGCTCTCCAAAGGTAAGAAATCTTGTGAAAGGGGCTTCAGAACAATAGTTTCAGCCTTCCCCTGGTGCCGGACAGCAAACAAACTTTTGGGGGAGAGGGAGGGGAAAACAGTCTCAGATTTTCAATAAAATTCTGAAGGGAATTTTCAGATCTCGGTGGACTAGATTGTAGAGGAATTGGAGGAAGTAATCCAGCAGTAATTGTGGAGAGAAAGCTGAGATTAAATTCCCACTCAAGGCCCTTGAATTGGGGAGCTATCTAGAGTAAATAGGAGAGGGGAGGGAGGCGGTGGAATTAGAGAGAAAAAACGGGATTTAATTCCAAAGGGGGAAGCAGGAATTGGAAAGGGATTTAACGGAAGTGGGGCCTGGAGCTTTTCGGCCAGGAAAAATAAATCTCAGATTTTTGGAAATGCTTCCAAAGAAAGAATTTAGCTTAAGGAAATAATTGTAATTCCAGATTTCACGTGGAGGGGTGGGGAATTAATTTGTGCTTTAATTCCATGGGGAGAGTTTTAATTTGAGAAAGAAATTAAGAGGGGGTTCGGCCAAGCAAGAACCAAGGAGCAATTAATGTGGAGATTTAAGGCTCGTTGATTTGAATTTAAGAGTTAGGTAAGTGAGACAATAAATCAGATTTGAATTTAAAATTCAAATTGATTCCAATTGAGCACTTTCCAAAAAATAGAATGAAAAATTAGGAAGGATTTCAAATTTTAAATTAGTTGGATTTGAATTTCGAAACTGTCCAAACTTAAATCACCCAAATTAAGTTTGAATTACATCATGAATGAGACTCAATACTTTCCTAAAATAGCTTTCTAATTTAGGAAACTATTTGAAATTCAAAATTCAAATTTCAAAGGATGAAAATAATTTTCTAAATTATTTGAACTCTTTAGGCAAGCATTAAGGTGACATTGACCCCTCATTCATGGAGACAAACAAGAGTGGCCGGCGGTGGAGGAGCTAATGGGGGAAGGTGGTCGGCGGCCAAGAGGATGGGATCGGGTGAAGGTGGCCGGCGGCTATGGGGAAAATTTGTGGAGCTTGGTATGGGGGTTTGGCCGAGGGGTTGAGAGGGGAGGAGGAAGAAATATGAAAACGACGACGGGGAGAGATAAGAAGGAAGAAAACAAAACAAAGATAAAACGAAAGATAAAAACAAATGATAGAAAATAAAAATGATAGAAACCGCGAGCCTTGGACTCTTCCGAAGACTGACAAGTGATTCGTTTGCCCTTCTCCAAGGGACTTCACGTCACGAGCCCGGACCCATCCTGCGGTTGGTGAAACTCTCGATTTCTCTCATAGAAATCTCACTCTCGTCCTCTCTAAAGAAGAACACAAGTGTG